GAGTTGTTATTCTCTGGGTCCTTCACCTTTTCCTCTGCTGTGGCTTAGGAAGGCAGGGCTTTCCGATGGCCAGAGAAGCCCTTAGGCAGGGAGATGCAGGTGCTGGCAGCCGTCAGAAGGCCAGGTGTTGACTCCACTGGTAAGGCAGGGTTCAAACAGCATCTACTCCAAAGAGATTATTTTAGTTCTTTGCTGATCTTTGGGAATGGTCTTTTCGACAGTGTGTGTGTGTGTGTGTGTGTTGGAGGGGGGATTGGGGATTGAACTCAGCTAGGGCTTTTGCACTCAGCTATATCCCATCTCTTGCTAAATTGCTTAAGTTGGACTAGAATTTATGATCTTCCTGCATCAGCCTCCCAGAATGCTAGAATTACAGCCATGTGCCATCATGTCTGGCTTATTTTCAACAATTTGGTGCTGTTAATATGAAGACAGCTGGTAGGAAGAAGGATAGCATTTGTGTGTCTGTCAAGCTGAAGGGAAGGTCTTTATGGCTCAGTTTTCTCCTCTGGAAAGTGCAGTAACTGATACCTATCTGAGCAGATGTCTTGGGGGTTTCAGGTAGTAGTGCTAAGTATCTAGCATAGTGCTAAGAAACTAAAAGGTACTGAAGAAATGGTAGAAAGGATAATGATGGTCTTGTTCAGGCAGCGCTGATCTAACAAGATCTCACACTGGCCCAGAAGGCATCTCCTCCTATCTGGAGAGGTGCCAGGACTCAGGAGTGCTGTCCCCAAACACTCCCTGGGGATTTTCTGAATAGCCAGCCCCCAAAGCATTTTTTCCTGCTAACTGGACATAGCTGTCTGTCATAGCTGTGTTCCTTAGTTTCCCGTTTCTCCTCAGATCCACACCTTTCTACTTGCTCCTCTGCTAACCAATCCTGCCTCACCCGCACCCCAATACCCAGCCTTGGATGCCTCTCAGCAGGAGAGTAATTTTCGTTTATTGCTGAGTATAAAAGTAATATTTGCTCATTTTTGAATATTTGTTACAGACAGGAAAGTATAAGAAAGTAAACTAGAATCCCCCATTTTAAAGATTTTGCAGTTAACATCTTGGTATATTTCCCTCCAGTGCTTTTTTCCTATGTATGTACAAATCACACAATTGGGACCATTTTTTAGAATCATATTTATTAGCCTGTTTTTCTCACCTGACATCACAATGTTACCATACATGTTCCCATAACATCAGAATTTCTTCAAAAACATGACTTTTTTTTTTGGTACCGGGGATCGGACTTGGGTCCTTGTACTTATAAGGCAGGTGGTGGAAACACTGAGCTAAATCCCCAGCCCAAAAACATGACTCTTAAAGCATGTATGATACTATATGTGGATTTTAAAATTTTAAATCATTCCTGTTATTGCTGTAAATTGTATCTTTTTGCCTTTTGTAAATAATTCTACATTAAGCATCTTTGTACATAATTATTTGTGGGCTTCTCTGAGTACTTCTTTTAGGAAAATCTCAATTGGAATCCCTGGAACAAAGGGTATAGACAGTCTAAGGGTTGTTAGCATATACTGATAAATGTCCTCCATGGAGTTTTTCTTTTGTTTTTGTTTTTTGTATTGGGGATTGAACCCAAGGCTTTTCTAGAGAGCTGTAGCTCACCATTTATTTATGTTACTGGAGATTGAACCCAGGCTCTTTGCACTGAGCTACACCCCAGCCCTTTTAATTTTTTTTTTTTTTTGGTACCAGGGCTCGAACTCGGGACTTTTCGCTTGCAAGGCAGGTGGCAGAACCACTGAGCTAAAGCCCCAGACCTTAAATTTTAAAAAATATGTTTTGAGACAGTCTTGCTATGTCTCTAAGCTGTGCTTAAATTTGTGACCCTCCTATCTCAGCCTCCCAGAGTGCTGTAGTTACAGGCATGCACTACCATGCCTGGCTCATGGAGCTTTTAATGATGTTAATCCATGCATAGATTTTGTGTAACCGTTACCATAATCAGGATACAGAACAATTCTGTCACCCCAATAAACTCCTTTCTGCTACTCTTTTACTTTCACCCCCTCACATTCTCTAGAGGGTTATGGAATAGTTAATTCTATAGTGCGGAATTAACTGGTAGTTCTCAGCTAATTGTCCAAATTAAAATAACTCATTCAAGTATTTTTAAGATGTTCCTGGATCAGGTTGCAGTAGCAGCCAAGACTGAACTCCGACGTGGATGGATCTAGGATGGGTCCCTCTTACAGTGGTACCCAAGTCTACTCCCATCAGGCCTTCGAGACATGCTGGGATTCAACCACTGGGCTGCCGGGAACTGAAGACTAGGCTGGGGTAGGATTAGTGAACATGGAATTATTTTGCAGAGCTGACCCTCAGACAGAAATCTAAATTGCAAGGTTCAAGTTCTTGGGATGGATAAGGGTCTGACATGGGTGCCACAATGAAGATACTCATCCTAGGCAGAGGCAGACTTTTGGTTTGATGGGACAGAAGATGAGGAGAGGAGGAAAAGGGGATCTACCCACTTTGAGCCAGAAAAGGCCAGGGCTATAAGCAGGTACTCCGGGCTCTGGGACAGGAGGGGTTCACAAGGACCCAGCTAGACACTGAATTCTGCTAAATAAACAGGTGACCTGGAGAGCCTCCTGGTCTAAAGAGGGAATTTAAAGGACTGATTAGAAACCAAGCTGGCTGTTCAGTGACCCAGCAATCATTTGAAAGTTAGGCGCTTCCTGATGTGACGCTAAGGCAGTGGTTCTCAAACTGTAGCAAATGGCAGAGTGCCTCCAAACCCAGGAGTTTTTGTTAAAACCCAGATGGCTGGGCTCTACCGCCTCCGTTTCTGACTCAGAAGGTTCAGGCTGGGGAGTGCGAATTCCCCACAAATTGTCAGGGCTGCTGCAGCTCCTTGAGGGGCCACACTTTGGGAAGCACTGCTCTAAGGCAAAGAAAATATTGAGATTAGAATAAAAATCTCACTTTCATATCACTCAGCATGGGCAGAAAAGGGGCTTTTAAATGTAAGGCAGGACTTTGCTCTTCCGTGTTGATTGGCTCCAAAGAGCTAACCCTGCAGTTTGAGGCATTTTGTGCTTCCAGGAAAGCAGGTAGGATAGGAAGGAAATGATCTCGAGTCTTCAGAGGACCAAAACATCAATAAATTCTTGCCTCAAGTAGAGTTTTCTTGAGCATAGGTAATACTTATCAATGTTTCAGAATCTATAGCTGTCAAACTATGCAATTCTCTGCTGCAGGATTTTTTTTTTCTTATTTTGGGGTCAGCCAGCCCTTTCTGCTTAGTTGAGGAAGGACTTTTCCCCCCCAGTGCTGGGGAGTGAACTTAGGGCCTTTGCAAAATGTGACCTCCAAACCTATAGCATCAGCATTGCCTAGGCACTCATTTAAAAACACAAGTACCGGGCCGGGGATTTAGCTCAGTGGTTTCGCTGCCTGCTGTGCAGGCACAAGGAACCAAGTTCGATCTCCGGTACGAAAAAAAATAATAAATAAATAAATAAACACCAAGTACCAGGCCCATCCTGGACCTGCCAAACCTGGTCTGGGGTCTGGCATGGGGCCAATAATTTGCATTTTTACCAAGTTTCCTGGTCATGCTGATGTTGGAGCTGCTGGTCCCAGGCCACACTTCAATGAAAACAAAAATTGAAAGATTTAAAAGCCCAGGAACTATAAACAAAAATTGAAAGATTTAAAAGCCCAGGAACTTGTCTTAAGAGGATTCCTGCCTAGGTTCTTTTGCTGCTATACCTTCTGCATCCCTGCCCCACCCCAACCCTTCAAATGCCAGCTCTGTTACTGATGAGCTTTGAGACCCTGTGTAATCTGCAATTTCCTCATCTGTAAAATGGGGATAATAATAGGATCTACTTCTTTGGGTTCTTATGAAGATTAAGCAAGATCTAGCTAAAGTACTTAGTACCATGTCTGTGCTTAATAAATGCTAGTGATAATTTTATTACTATTAAACATATGCCATTTGACTAGAACAAATACCTTTTTAAGTTCTTTTCTTTGAGTGTATATCTTCAGAATGGTCCTCTTCAAAAGTGGATGTTCTCTGACAATTTAAACATCAAGGCACATCATCTTTAACATCTAGGATGTTTCTCTGGTTGCCCCAAGCACTTGGCTGAGAGCAGCGTGCTTATGAAATGGGACCCAGGACTGATCAAATGGGAGCAGGGAAACAGATCAGGGAAAATGGAACCATGCATTGAGAAGCAGGGGGAAGAGTAGCTGAAGGAGGAAGCAGTTGGGGAGGGCAGTCAGAGGTGGGAGGCAGGCTGTCAAAGACAATCTACCTCCTTCTAAGTTCCTCCTAGGGGAGCCCCAGGGACAGACTCCAGGGCTACATTAGGCCCCAGGGGATCTGTCAGCGTTCCTGTGGCAACATTCAGGTGCCCACAGTGAATTCCCTGAGAGGTCCCTGGAGGCCAGCTGGCAATTGGCACAGTGGGTTTGGGTTCAAAAGTGGCTTTGTTTTCAGGACGACCCCTATTTGGCAAATATTCCGACTACAGTACATCAGACAGTCATGTCAGGGACATGGTCCTTTTTAGTGGAGGTCTGCCGTGTGCTTTCTCGAGAGGTCCTAGGCCCCTCAGGAAGCGCTTTTATCTTATCTGGATAGTGCAGCCCTGGTCCCTTGCCCAGAAGAGACCGAGACCTTTGCAACTGTATTAAATAGGAGAAACAAAAGCAGCAAGTTAGGGACCCGTGGGTACGGCTGGCCAGCCAATGGGGTCCGGCCGCTCCCCAGCGGAGTGGTACTATGATGACAGTAGCCAACCAGCGCGCTCCATGCAAATGAGGATACTGTATCCCGCACCAGCCGCTCCAGTGCCGCCTGGTTGTTATAGTGATAAACTGAGGCCTTGCCTCTTGGCTTCTCGAGAAAGAACGGGGCGGGGGGGGGGGGGGTTGTGGGGGTTAACCTCTTTGCTTCCCCCGGGGAAGACGGAAAGAAGGGGAAAAGAAGGGGGATGGGTAGGGAAGAGAAAAATACATGACAAAGAAAACATTCTGTGCCTGGGAGGAGACTCCCAGAGGGTGTAGAGCTGGAGGGAGCAGTCACTGGCCATGCCAGTACTTACCACTGATGCTGAGTCAGAAACAGGTATCCCAAAATCCCTTTCCAATGAGCCTCCCTCAGAAACCATGGAGGAAATAGAGCACACATGCCCACAGCCTCGACTGGTAAGTAAAGACAAAGGATGCAAATGTATGCGTGGCTATGGCACAAAAGAGTTCCTTATGTGCCTGCAGCCAGCGAGGAAAGGATGCTTAGAGGATTTTCATGTAAATGAGACTGGAGCTACAGCCTAATCCTTCTCAGCTGTTCATACTTAGCTTCTATACCGGGCGCTGCTCTCAGCTTACAAAGCGTTATTGTATTGGCTGGATAGGAAACGGACTGCTTGGGATATGCTGTGTGTTTGTCATTTGGGAGGAGGGGATGGCCTGTTTCCTCTTAGGTGTATTCTTGTCTGGAGGTAAAAATCCTACAGTGCAATTAAAATATGGTTTTCTCTTCGCAAAGCTTGCAGTGAGTCCCTCGTTAAGTTAGAAATTCTAGCTCAGGAATGATTCGGTCCTCAACTGATTCCGTGCGTGTGTGTGTGTGTGTGTGTGTGTGTGTGTGTGTGTGTGCGCCTAATGCCAATTTTGGAGAAAACGAAAACGACACAGAAGCAAAACTTCCCCATTAGATCGCAAATTTCAAAATATGTAAATAGATAAATCCTTCAATGAAGTATTTAGAAATAATGTGCATTCAAAATGAATTGTAAAAATCTCCGGCGTGTGCCGTGAGGGTTTCTATTCAGGTAGTGGAAACCTGGGGACTCTACCTTTATTTGGAATGGGGATCATGCTCTTAATAATGAAAATGTGGGAACGGGGCACTCAGTGCTTCCTTCCATCACAGTAACTGGTATCCCAAATCTGATTAGTTTCTGTATCACTTCCTCATGATCCCTTAGGTAGATGTGGAAGTTTGTTCTCCACTTCAGTGTGTGTCCTCAAGGAATCAAAAGCATCAAATGGGTGATGGGTTTTTCTATGGCTCAAAGTTCGATGGAACATGGGGAGACCTCTCTTTGACCCCCAAATCCAAGAGTTGTCCTTTCTTAGTAATTTCTTGCAAGCTGAAAGGTGCAATATTTCGATTGGCTGAGAAGTTCTACCCTGGGAAGAGGTTTTTTAAAAAAAGATTTTGTGATGTAGCATTTTCTGTGAACTCCCAAAATGAAGGTTTACAGTTTTCAAAGCCAACTCATCATTTGACTGTTATTTCTTAATAAGGGCCCCTAAGGGTTTAAAGGCAGGCTTAGGACAATTTCCTAAAAAGCAGAAAAACAAGGGAAGTTATATTAGAGCCCTGTGGGCTTTTTTGAACTAGGTTTCTATTTTTTAAACATGTTTTTTAAAGGGCAGTTTAATCTTAACTGCTTCCTAGACCTTTAGCCAGTTACTGAATGAAATATGCAACATAGCAACTATATTTTTATAGACTATAAACTATCCCAAAATGTGTGTTACTCACTAAACAAATCATGGTTTAGCAATGGAAAAAATTGGCCACTAAAAGTATGTTACAAGATCAGTGAGAATATATGTTTAAAGAAAACTCAATTGTTCAAATTTGCATCACAAACTTTTGTGGCAAATGTAAAGGGCAGGAGAAAGGCAGCATCCAGCTCTAATTGATGTGTCATTTCAGTCTCTGTGTCTACTCCTTGTCCCTTCCCTTGTCACCTTTTAGTTATTCTGCTCCTTGGTTGCTTCTGCCTGAGAGAGGTGGGCAGAGAAAGTCAGGGGAAGGAAGAAAGTTCAAGTTGCTTTCCTCTTTCACTTCGGACAGCTCATCCCAGGTGGCAACTCACAAGAATCCTGTGAAGCAGGCAGTGTTTATACCCTCACCTCCTGCCCATTGTATAAATGAGAGTGAGTGACTTCCCTAAGGGTCACATTGGTTGGAAGGGGCAGAGGCAGGAATTGAACCCAAAGCAATACAGCTCAAAAGTGAAAGATCTTTCCCCTTACAATATACTCTCAGCAAGATACATTCTTTTCTGCTCTTTTTGGCCTTTCTGGTTTAAAGTATATTATGCACCAGCACAGGTATGATAGGGATGTACACAAGTTGAGGTACTGAAGAAATTGCTTTGATCTACTTTGATTAACATTTTTCCATGTTGTCCATCATTATACTGGGCTACTGCAATTGGCTCTGCTTAAATAGGAGCTTGCAGCCTATTTATAAACCACTATTCATTTTTTGAAGCACTTTTTTTCTTATTAGCAAACTTTGATTGCTGTGGGGTTAGTTATATTCTAAATTTAGATTTACACATCATAGACCACCTTTCCTTTGCTAATGATTTTACTTTATTAAGGCACATGTTAACTGCTTCACAAAGTTTGTGGATTAAAGAGAGTGAGTGGCACAGAAAATGTGAAATTAGCCTTTCTTTTTGTGGTTTTTAGTAGTTTCTGTTGACTTTTGTTGTAGACTTATCATATCTTCATCTTTCAAATTATATAAATTCTGTGTGTCTCCCACCACTCAAGCATATCATTCTTCATCACATGTCACTCACTTCCACTATAGCCATCAACAGGGTGTGGCTACTGAGTTGCTTAACTAACTTCAGAAAGTGCGTGAAGGATTTGAAATGGACCTGCTCAGGAATAAAACTCTACCTTTAGATTCCCCTTCCTAGGATGTCAGATTCCTTCTCCGAGTTGTTGAAACAAAGGAGGCAGCTGGCATCCTTGAAGAAATAAAACAGGATTCTAAAGAAATCTATATTTTAGATCCCTGTGAGGACCAAATTGAAATTGATACTGATATAACTGAATCATATTTCAAGGCTAAGTTTTTCTGAGAGGAATATATGTAGTTTCCTCAACTGCTCTATTCTTCATTGGAGGAGTAAAGAAGGAGAGGGATAGACAGAATGCAACAACACTGCTGAACACTGCTTTTCTGATTAGAAAAGCAATACCAGAAAATTATTTAGGTTTTGGGATAGAGCCTACATGGTAAGAATGTAATCTTATTACCCTTACCACTTTACCATAGTGTTCTGGTTTGAGTGGTTTTTGAGAACTCTTTTTTCCATTGTTACAATATGTATTCTTTTTTGTTGTTGATGTTGTTGTTTTTGGGGGTTTTTTTGGGGGGGTACCGGGATCGAACTCCAGAACTTGCGCTTTCGAGGCAGGTGGCAGAACCACTGAGCTAAATCCCGGGCACAATGTGTATTCTTAATCCTTGACTGGTTTTCTGTTCTTTAATATTTTCCTGCTTAAATGTGATGTGAGGTGGGTGACTCATGAGCTTGACTGTCAAGAAGAGAGGCTGAGTGGCCTTGGGTGATATGATGCAACAGATCTCCTTAGAAACCTACCTCCTGAGGGATGAGGACCCCCTGTGGGCAAGAACTGTCCTCATGTCCACCCAGCCCTCTGATTATGCAGAGATAAATCCTATGGCCCCAGCAGGTGCTCTGTACGCCCTTTCTACCAAGGCCCAGCCATTGGTGAAAGCTGTGTGCTTCAGGAGTTGGTTAATGACCTTGGTCAAGTTCTTCCAGGGGTGCATTCTGCTGTCAGAAGGAAGTTGTAATTCTAGCCTGCAATAGTTACTTCCATGAAGATGGATGTGCCACGGATCAACTGAGAAGGCCTTGGGGAAAAAAAAGGTTGGTTCAATATGCCATGTTAGCAGGAGTTCATTTTGGGCTTTCCTTCAAAGTGGAGCAGTGCCAGGAAACTGCTGTCTTGCCGAAGGGGCATTATGTCAGTTGTGATGTAGGATGCTCACCCACTGGTGCTCAGAAAGATGACTGGATCTCCAGATATTTCTTTCCTAGTATCACCGTCCATTTAACCACTCAGAGCAGCATGCATTTTGAAAGTGAGACACGCTTAATGTTCTGTGCTGTACTGGTGAAAACAAACAAACACAAGCTTCCTTTGGCCTTTACTGTGGTGAACTGGAACTCTGCCCAAGATTATTATTAGACATATTTCTGCTGATCTCTCTCCAAATCCAACATCCATTTCTAGCAGATTGATAACAGTCAGGTATATTGAGCATGGAATCAATGAATTCACTTCTTCCATTCTTTTAAGTTTGCTTTCTCACTATCCCTCCAAGCCCCCAATTGCCTCATACTAAATATCCATGTAGATGAAATAAACATAAATCAAATATAAGATAGGCAGTTTCTTTGTTTTATTTTGATGCTTGAACATACAGAAATTAAAAGGGTACATATATCATCATTCAGACAGTGAGAAGAGATTTAAAGTATTCAGTGATGCAGGGCTTCAGAAGGTACTTGAGAGAGGGCCAGTGATTTAGCTCAGTGGTTTCACTGCCTGCTGCACAAACTCAAGAGCCTGAGTTCGATCCCCAGTACCCCCCCCCCAAAAAAAGAAGGTACCTGAGAGAAAGCTCAGTCCCCTGAAAACCCTACCAACAGAATCTGCAGGATCCAGATGGTTAGCACTGACCAAACACAGCAATGCACTGGGTGCTGCGGAGAGAAATAAAAGAAGTGAACCCTTACATTCCCTGCCCTTAAAGATTATTTCCATTTACTAGAAGGCAGGGATTTGGTGTGTGGAAGCATGCAAGGATGCTGAAATCCCTTAAGAGCCTTTCTGTAAGTTTGACTTTAATATATTGGACTTTCTTAAAAGGCTGTATTTTATCCACTGAGCAGCAGTACTTGCCAGCAAGAACTCTGTTAACCTGATCCCCAAGTTAAGACAAGTTCCTGCATTTGAAGAAAAGATTCCACTTTCTGGCTCCAAAACATATTTGGGGACATAGAAAGGATGAATCTGTTTTTGAGGGGCCCTCAAGCCCGCCTTGTAGGTGGTATACTCCAGCCTCTAGACCAGTGCTGTACTATAGAAACACAACTTGAGCCACATACATAATTTTAAATTTTCTAATAGCCACAGTTTAAAAGGTAAAAAAAAAAACTCCAAGCAAAACTAATTTTAATAATGTATCTTATTTAATGCAATATATCCCAAATATCATGTCAATGGGCAATTAATACAAAAATTACTAATGAGATATTTGACCTTCTTTTCTCCATATTAAGTCTGAAATCCAGTGTGTAATTACATTTCTAATATGTCTTAATTCAGACTAGCCAATATCAAATAAATAA